TTAGGGGAAGAAACAAAAAAATCACCTTAAGGTAATGTCATTATTATAATAACATCTCAAATGTCTATGGAATTTCTCAGTCATCCAGGTCATGGTTGTCCCAAAGGTGCTTTTCAAAAGGCAACTGGACTTCCTTGGATGGAAAGTGAAACATTTTCAAGGAAAAAAACCAAGAAAGTCCAATTGCCTTTTGAAAAACACCTTTGAGATAACATCTCAAATGTCATATAGTTTGTGCATGCTTTGAAGAATCCCAGAACTTGTGACATTTCCCCCGAATTTTTAACTATACAAAGAATCATTGCTAGGCAGTCCAAAATTCCCACTTGTGTTGGTCCTGCAAGAATTTTCAAAAGCTCCTTCTGGAAACCAACACAAGGTGGCAGTACTGTTTTTGTTTATATTTGTGCTGCCCTTCTTCAAATGTATAGGAGTACAGCTCTCATCATCCCCAGCTAGCATGGTCATGTTGCGTTGGAAGGCATTATGGAGACGGCACACAATGGCCTGCTTTGTCTTTTTAGCAAGAAGAGGTGATGAGTTAATTCATCTGGAAACACACTATTGAGGAGTAACTGAAGAAGTACTGCCAAATTAAATAGGATCAGTTTTAGAAAAACTCAATTTTCAACTGCCCTTCGGTCCTGACAAAAAAAACCTGAGCAGTGCTAATCCAAGATCAAGATGACCTGATTATGCTACAAATCCATAGCTGGATATCTATTACTACTATAATATTAATATTAAAATATTAAAAAGTTGTCAGGAGGTGGATAAAAAAGGACCGGAATTTTATGCACGCACTCTCACTCTTCCTCTTTATGACAATAGTTTAACAATAATAATAATAATAGTAAAGTTGGAAGGGACCTTGAAGGTCATCTAGTCCAACCCCCTGCTCAGGCAGGAAACCCTATACCATTTCGGACAAATGGCTGTCCAGGCTCTTCTTAAAAACTTCCAGTGTTGGAGCATTCACCGCTTCTGGAGGCAGGTTGTTCCACTGGTTAATTGTTCTCACTGTCAGGAAGTTTCTCCTTAGTTCTAGATTGCTTCTCTCCTTGATTAGCTTCCACCCGTTGCTTCTTGTCCTGCCTTCAGGCGCTTTGGAGAATAGCTTGACTCCCTCTTCTTTATGGCAAC